CTGCCTCGCAAATTAACAGTTAAGCGCCAACGGTAAATAATTGTCAAAGACAACAACCAGTCCAAAGATGCTGCCTCAAAACAGTGTTTCGTGATGCACCGCTCTCAGGAGAAGCTGAAGCCGAAGATGAAGATGAAGTCGCGCGCCGGTTGCATTTGCCATCGCAAATGAGGTTTGACTGGTTTCCGTGACATGCACCAAATGCCCAAAAGGAGTTCTGCCAAATACAGTGGGCTCTGGCTTTGAAGGTTGCCAAAAGCGTATAACAAAAAGAAAAAGTAGGGAAGAGGTGATAAAAGCACACTTGCAGATTCTATGAACCTTTCCATAAATGTCTAGAGCAAAAAACTTATTAGAATATATCTGTGAAATTTGTGCGGCTATAAAATAGCGAAAGAAGATGGTAAATATTAAAAGACAATTTTGAGTAGTGATTACCTTAGATAAAATTATTTTTACCATTTTTAAATCGCTCTCTGGCCTTGTTTTTATCACCAAGTGTTTAGTCTGCTGCAAGAATTGATGATTATTCTAATTAAATTAACATGGACAAATATTCCCGAATATTCAGACTACAAACTGTGAATTTTCACCCGAAAGATATCTGGGAAAGCATCGCCACAGGCTAATCAGCATTATTGCATTTAATACTGATATTTTCTGGCAAGGAACCAAGTTGGCCCGCCGCATCAGGAGCACAAACCAAGTCGAATTCAATTACCATCCGTTGAGATTTCAATTTGAGTGTGGCTGCCTGCGATTCTCACTGTACCTGCTCGGGAAGAAGACCTGTCTGTCTGTTGGCAGCAGACCATCCATTCCCCTCCGCTTCTACAAAGATGCTGGTCTTTTTCTTAGACTGGTAATTCTAGTCGCCTTGGCAACTTCGCGCTGCTGGCGGATGTGCAAATATTTTGATTAAATTTTCTCCATGGCAACTTTCTTTCCACGAAGCGAAGCTGCAACTGCAGCGGCAACCTCATCATCATCAGCAGTGGAAACAGCAGTGGCTGTGGCAGTGGCAGTGGCAGTGGCACTGGCATCCATCTCCCACTTTTCTGGCTCTGGCGTTCTCAGCCACTTTGGGGTCGCACTCAGTGTGTGCATTTTCCCAGTTTTCTTCTGGGTCCCCCCTCTGATTTCCAAACACGTTCGGTAACCGGATCCCCAGTCCTCGAAGTTGACTTACGGATGGACATAATTCCCAAAAATTACGGCGCAAAGTTCAGACTGAAGTCCGACCTGCTATGACACAACGACTCCATTCCAATGCACTCGAGAACCAAGAACTCATTAGAAACTGAAAAGTTTTCATTTGCCAGCGAATGCAAATGAATATTAAACGGGCTGCAGCGGGAATGGGAGTTCGGTATGGCTGCGTTTTAATAACTGTGGATTAAGTCTGCATAAATAATAATGATTATAAACTGTGTGAACCGCAGACAGCGTGAAAATGCGCAGCCCGGAAAATTCCTTCCACCCACGAAAAGTTTCTGCATAAGAAAATGACAAATGATCGCCGGGCAAAAGTATTCAAAAAGTAGCTGGCAAAACGGCAAAAAAGAACGCAAGCTGAAACCGCGACAATAAACTTTTCTTCCCCTTTTTCCTGCTCTTTTCTGTTCAAAGAAAATGCGAAAAATTCTTGGACTTTGTTATGCGTAATTTGAGGTTTCTTGTACACCGACCGATTCCCCTTGGCTTTTCCGCAGGCAGGTCTTTAATTTGCAGTTAAGTGTTCGACGAATTATCTCGGCAATTATTTCTGAAAGCTCTGATTAATGCAGAGCATAGATAAGGCGATCCGAACTAAAAGCAATTTGCGAGGAAACTATTCTCCTTCCTCTTTCATTCCCACCTGAGCTACCTGCCTATGGAACTTAATTGTATCTTATCTGCGGAGCAGAACAAGAGCGAACCTTAACTAGACTCATCAGGGAACGCACAAATTGCTCGACTCGCTTATCAGTCAATTAGCCAGGCGATAAGACGCAACACGAAGCGAAAAAGAAAGACTGCTGAAGACAAGTAGCCTCCGGGGAAAATAAAGGTAGGAAGTAGTCTGCCCGTCATCGCAAAAGTGGAATCACTTACCCGGTCTACGCTCATTTCTCCGTTCCTGTAATTTCCCTTATCGCAGGAATAATAAAAGTTTCAATCCATTATCAAGCCGGAAATGGGATATTTTTGGGTCCAAAATAAAACGCCACTCATCAGGCCAACAACCGCACATAAATACAAGAGTCTAAACATTTTAAAATAACATTTTTACAGATAAGAATGCAGTATTTATTTCCGTCTGGTTCTGACTAAAACTGTTACACAGAAATCGTGCAAGGGCAAACAAAGGTTTGTTTAAATTGTTTTTGCTACAATCTCTAAGCTGATAAGTAAAGCGAAATATAAAATAAAATAGTGATTAAAGAGAAAAATAATCTGTAGATAAAAACCTATAAGACCCCTTAAATTCTCTACCAGCATAATTTTGCACAGATACTTTACCAGTGAAGCACCAATATAGGCTAATGAAAATAGCTGCAATTTTAGTGAAATAACTATGGAAACCCTAAAATCCATTCGCATTTTCACTAAATAAATGCCGACATTAAATACCAATTTAGAGCTGAACATATTCCCCAAACGGCAGCCATAACCCATTATGATATCTATGGCCAAATAGCTGCATTTCAAAATTTAAACAGGCCACCCTAAAACCAAACCCCAATCCAAACATTGCGCATACGCCGCGTGAACCGCAGCCAATCCGAAGGCCACAGCGACAGCAGAGCATTTTAATTAATACACAAAATTAAACGGGGGACCTGCCAGCAATCTATCGAAGAAGTCATCAATTATAGGCTGACGGGAATTTTATTATGAAGTCGGTTCGTTTGACGATAGGGAATCCAAGTGACTGAAACAGACCTTGACTTGCATCTGATAAATACCGAATTTAAAGTGGGGGAAACTGACGGCAGGAATCCGGCAATTAGCGTATTGTTGGCTGGTATTTTTGGATGGTTCCGAACTAATAATTGAGATTGTCAACATTTGGTTTTGACAACCCCCCTCGCCGACCTGTCTGCCAACTTTAATCGCTCTATTTTGCCATGGCAAACTCCGGTGGTGTGTGTGTTTCTGTTGCTGTTGCTGTTTTTACAGCTGACTGAGGACATGACATGCTGGTTACGACCCCTTTGCCACCTCCCCCACGCCCCGACCCGAAGTCTTTCTCTTTTGTTTTCAGTTTATAAGCGCATACAACGGAAATTGCCAACATAGCAGGGGGAAAATCATAGGGGGTCGCGGGCTGGATGGCACTTGAACCCAACGAGCCATAACAAAAGGCACACGAAGTAATTAACTTGTATTTATTGTATGCACACATAGTTGCCATGGTTAGTTTGCTGGCTCGAGGAGTGAGTGGGGTGCTGCCCTCTAATTGATAAGCTCAGAGTTGCATTGGCCCTCGATCCATGGTCTCTTTCCCTGGGGGTTCTGTTCTGGCCAAAGGCAGCATGTGCAGTCAATTACTTTGGGCCAGAGCTGCAATCTGCGGCCGGCGGCTAAGAAGCCGTGAATGAGTGCCGATCCCTACAGCCCTGTCTAATGTTTATTAGTCCTTATCTTCTTTTTCGTGCACAATTTCCCTATTCATAGGCTATGGAAAATATGGCAAATTAGGTTTGCTACTGGCTTACTACACTTCACAAAATGTGGTCCGAATGCAAGCACAAGTTATATTTAGATTTAATATAATATTTCTGACCGTAATCCTAAATTTAGCTAAAGGAAAGCTTGTAATTTCTATTCAAAGTAGTATTTATGAAATTTAAACTCTTAAAAAAAACAAAACTGAAATTACCTGAAGCTTAAAATTGCATGTTTTGCTTGTCAGCTTTGACAAAAGCAGTTGTGCTGGGTCAGGAAACTAATCCTCGGACTAATTCAATTTAAACCAGTATCAAACGCAGCCTTAGGCACTTGCAATACATATAACCCACTCCGGCGGCACTCGCTAATTGGATTAGCATCGAAGGGTATTCAACTGCGGTTAGCAGGCGAGGAACCACAATTTCTTGTTTTCCGTTTCTGTTGCCGCTTCTGCTGCTGCTTCTTCTCGGTGGATGCACTGCACCAACCTGACACGCAACTTCACTCTCTGTGGGCCAACCACTTGAGCTCCTCACCCCACCCATATTTACTATGCACTGGAAAAACCAGCATGAGAAGGCCTTCAAGCTAGAAATCTTAATTTGCTTAATAAGAGGAATTTTATACATAAAAACAGTATAATATCTTTAACTCATCATTAACGGATAATTAACAGTGTTTGTTTGGAAGCCAAACTCAATATTTATGAATGACAAATAATTCATATTCAATTCAAAATTCGTTTAATATTTTCTGAAGCTATCCAATATTTTGCATGGGAAAATGCTCGATTCAGGTTCCATTTTCTCTGCATGTTTCCCATGTGGGTCTGCCTTGGACACGGACTCCACTTCTCCGCAAGTCCACCTCTGTCCCGTTCTGTTTCGTTGGCTGGGGGCTCAAGTGGCGTGTCCATGTCATTTACCTGGCAGCCACTCAAGTGGCAAGAGCAAAGGTGCGAGGGGCAGTGGGCTCTGCGGATCGGTACAAAGTTCTGATGCGGTTTTTGCTGCAATTATATAATATTGACATTAGTTGCATGTTGGCTGTCATTTTGTGTTTGCGACGAGGCCAGAGATTGAGGCTCCGAGCTTCAAGCTTCGAGCTTAATTGCAAAGTGCAGCAGCAGCATCGAAAGATGAAGATAAAGATGCGGCATCATCAGCAGAAATCCAAAATCAATATTATCATTAATGGCTCAATTACTTGATTTGCGTTTCAGTTTAATGGCTTAATGTCGTATAAATTAATTGCATTCACCTGCCCTTAGGGTCTAGGATTAAGCTTGAGTCTGTGGAAAATTGAATCACAATCTTATGAGTATTTTTGGCATCTCTCATTCGCAGGCACTTCCCGACGATCCTTCCCTTTTAAAAGTTCTTCGCTCACACATATCCAGGCGCATCAGACTGATTGACGGCACAGACTGCTATAAACCATATGCAATATCTTCCAAGAAAACAACGCATATCAGAAGGAGAGAAAAAAAACACGGTTGGAAAACGAGGAAAACATATCCTGCATCATAAATCATTGCCAGGCTTTGATTAATGTTGCGTATACGCAATGTTGTCGGCCCCCGCGTTGGCCTCTAACTAAGTGAAAGCTCAAATCGGTCAGAAAGAGCGGGATAGAATACTTCCATTAGCACCTTCTGGGACATAACAACAACATCATCATCAACAGCAGCTGAGACCACAAATCCAGAAACCAAAGATGGCCTTCATCTGGCGACGACGCTCCACGACGATTGTGAAGCTGGTGGCCTTCCTCCTGGCCATTTGGTTCTGCATAGCCTTTCTGGTCTACACGGACGACACGCGGCGAAGAGCCTCCCAGGAGGGGGGCGGCGGCAGTGGGGTGGGCAGTGCCCTTGGAGGGGGCGGGGCCGGAGGACTAGGCGATCCCATTGCCCTCGCCCTAAGGAACGAGCCCGCCGGCGAGGACTTCGGTATCAATGGGAACGTCATCGGAGGAGGAGGTGGTCAGAAGCAGGCGCACGACGAGGCTGATATCCCACCCACAGTGGGTAAGCACAAGGTCGACCACCAGGCGGAACGGCTGCGGAAGAAGGCTGCTGAGCAGCCGAAGAAAAAGGCGCAAGACGGTGAGTCTGGGTGGCTTTAATTGCATGCTAACAATATTAATTGGCTTGTGGGGCGGAATAAGAGCATCCCAAAGATGCTTAACAATATATGCAAATATATGTATATATTATTTATATTTATTTATATTTTTAAAAAATTCACAATAGTTTGAGAGCGTTATTGATTTTATGGTAAGAAACATCTCCTTATTCAATAGTTTGCTTGTAAAATAGATAAAACAAGTATGTGTTTAAAATAAGAGCACTATCTTATTTTCCATATATTTCATTATCCACCTAGACTTTGAGAGGATGTTTAACAAAAGACCACTTATTCTCATTTTTTCGAAGATTTCCTTGGGTTTCTTCTCGACTTACTACGTTCTTGGCCCATTAGTGCCCATTGCACTTTGCATATCGGAATCCCTCTGTTCTGTGCTCGGCAATAAGCATTTATATTGAAATCAGTTGCACATTTATTTCCGACGCAAAACCCTGCGATTTCCCCTCTGTGCGCCGAACTATTCAGCTAGCTTTTTCCGCTCTTGTTATCGACGCCAGCGATTCTATTTTTCCTCGTGCAACTCCCCTCTCTTTTTGCATCCTCGAGTCGAGTTTTTTGCACTTCATTTCCACGCAATCGGTTGCAACTAATTCCCATCAATTCAACGCACACGCAGGCGAAATCTCCACCTCCTCTCCACCCAGTTTCCCCACCATGAATTTCCCTGCTCGTATTTTACGGTCACACATCCTCAATCCTTGTTTGGGAGATTGCATTTTGGGTCACCAGCCCGATTCGATACAAGATGCTGAAAGAAGCGAACCAAACGGGTGATAATAACACATATTGCTTTCCTGTGTTCGCCTCTCCTCGCCTCCCCTCGTCATCCCCCGGATTTCCCCCGCCCCTGGGAGCAAAACTCGCTGCTGTCACACTTCCTCCTTTCGGCCACCGCCTTTGTGCCTTTAAGAAAATTTCTAACAAGTTTTACAACAATGTCGAAGATGCCAGCGGCGAGCACTAACAACCCGAACAACAACATGCAGCACTTAGCAGCTAGGAATTGCTGCCAAACAGCATTTTCAATGTCAGGGCGAGGGAGACCGGAGCGGGGATCGGGAAGAGGGGAACGCAGAGATAGATATTCGCATTAGGCTTTGGCGGGGAAAAATAATGTTACTTACTAATCAAGTCAAGGCTTAAGAGCTGGCCCTGGGACTGCGATTGCGACTTTACTCAATGGACACTTGTCTGGCCGCCCAGGCAAATCAATGAAGCCAGACCAGAGCCAACCAGCCATGAATTTGGGGGAGGGGGGGTCCGATGGGGCCTGGGAATCGGACGGGGACTAGACAGGGTCTCGTAGCTTCCTGTACGTAGGACCCTCCTTCATCTATTGCCTCGCATGTGGAACAAGCATTTAAGATTGCATCAGCATGTGGTCGGTAAGTGGGGGAGAAGGGTGTGGGGGATTGGGGATTGGGGAGCAGAGCTGGGAGATCTAGTCTCCCTGGCAGACAATGCACGTATTTGCAATTTCGCATATCATGTTTGCATCTCTCGCTCCGCGCTGCTCCTTCATCATCATCCCCAACCCCAGCCCCAGTCCCAATCCCCTACCTGTACCCATTCCCATTCCCATACCCCCATCATCATCATCATCATCCTCCTCGCAGTCTTCGTGGTGCAGCATCTCCATCTGCTCATCAGCGTTGAGGTGGCAAAGCTACAAGTTGGACCCCGATCCTTGGCAGCAAGTCTGCGATCCACGGCATCGGAGGCATCAGCAGCTGCCCCATGGCGTCAAAATTGTGTGCAAGCCTACAAACGTTTACCAACACTCCCAGGAAAAGGGCTCGCACAGGGCGAACTATTGATTTCCAGGCACAGTGAAGCCAATAAAAGGTGGACGAAGCATGCAAACGAGATATTTCGGAATGTTTGCAAACCTGTTCCTAATTTAAATGACCGAAATCAAGAAACATTCGATCACTAATCGTAATCTTTCGTGTGTAGATCATGAATATGTAAATTTGTCTTAATACAATATGTTTATTGCTTGGCATATGGTTTATATTTATTTTGGTGTTCAATTCCCTGATAGATTTATTTAAGAAGAATTGATTGTTAACGGATCTTAAAACATATTTTAAGTATGCACATATATTAGCTGCATTAGATTTTGTAATACATTTGGTTTTATAAAACTAAAAAAGGCAATTAAACAGATTACATAGCCGAGTACTAATGGCTTATATGCAAAACTTGTTTTAACGCTGATGTTTTCAATTTAAATTTATTCTTCTCTTGATCTTTAATAGGCCGACTCGAAAGCAGCCCATTAACTTTGGCTTCTTGGTCTGGAGGCAGAGCCCTCTAGACCTCTTTTCAGAGAGTCTAGAACATTTTTACAACTTTGCATGTGGGCAGCAAACAATAGAGTTATGGTTTTGAAATAGATCTTTCTGGTGAGGGCCATAACTTTAAGCCACTCGCAATGGGGGGCTATTGGGACCACTGTGGCGAACTCCTCCATCTGGATTCCTGGCAGTCTTTTACAGTCCCTTACAGTTTCTCGGTTCTGTGTTCATAGCTGGTAATTAGTGTTGTTGTACTTATTGGCTTTGGCCTTGGGGCGCGTTACCACCACCACCGAAATGGCTAAAATGGGAAGAGGTTGCGAGTGGCTGCAACACGACGTTTATCGCGCGCTCGCATCGGGTTCTTAAGGCAACTAACCCCCAACCGCCCCGCCCCCCACAGACCCCCACTTTATAATGCAGCAAGGGAACCTGCCTTCTGGCCATGTTATCTTGATCGTTGGCCCGTTTTCCCTGGCCACCTTTTACCTCCCGATCGGGCTGGACTCTTTTTTTTTCGGTTCTGCTCTTCATATATGCATAATTCTTGTTTTTACAATTTAGCAGCGATAATGATTTTATATATACATGGGAATACGGCCACGCCCCATTTTGGGCCAGATTGATTTGGCTGGTTTTGTGTGTTTCCCCCGTCGCTTTTAATCAATGCTAATCCCTGGGCTTGATTTCGTTCATGTTCTTCGCATGTCTATTGCTATTTATGGCCCACCCACACACACACACACACGCACACTCACATCTATTGTATGCGTATATAGAGATCCCTTTCGGAAAATCCCCTCAGCATTATTCGAAATAACGGTACTTTGGCATATTATGTTACTTTTATGCGGAAAACATGATGATGAAACGCAGGCACGCAGGCAAAACACCCGATATGTCAGTTCTCCCTCCCCACCCCTCTCACTCACACAAGCGCATTTGTCATGTGGCCACGCCCCCTTCCGCCTGTAGTATATAGCCACCACCGCCCCCTTTTCCACCTGCTGTCGCTGTCTATAACAAAACATTTATAGCTTCCTGTCACGCTCAGGCGGGTCCCTCGAGCTCCGTTCGCTGCGATTGTCTCCTTTTGTCTTTCCGCCAAAGCCCGCTTAACCCCCCTCAAATTTCTATATCCCTCCACTCGACCCCCTTTTTGGCAGATGCCAGAGCACATGAGCACATGAGCACATGGAAATATAACGCATACGCCCCGCTGAGCATTGGAACTTGACAAAAAATACTTGTCAACTTCGATTTGCCAAATGCAGAAAAGTTGAAGGTGAACTGACATACGAGTAGAAAAGAAAAAGTTGGCAAGTGATTGATCAATTATCACTTACCTTGATTGAGTTAAGTATGCAAATAAAAATTTGAAAAAGTTTGTTAAGAATAGATGTTCTTTTATTTAATACAGAACAATGGAATTGAATTTACTGCACTCAATAAATTGTCTGCATTGATTTATGAAAAGTGAAAGAAAAGTCTGAGAAAATATTTATTGCTCTATTTCTATGATAAGTTGTGATGAAAGGACAATCAAATGAAGTAAATTAATGCATTTTCCTTGTTATAAAAAAGTTACCGAATTGCCTAGCTGTTGAGGAATGCTTTTTATATAGGTAGTGTCCGAAATTGATATGAATATACAAAATAACTTTGTTGGACCCACCTTTGTTGAAAAGGGTGTGGACATAATTGGGTTAATGAAACTCAACTGGACTGAAAAGGAAAACAAGTGGAGGAAAGGAGATCGCCGGTGTTTCCAGCGCTCTATGGTGTAATCATTAATATCGAAAGAGGCCATAAATATGCTACAGTGAATCAATAAAAGACATTAAATCCAGTTACAGTCCCTCCTCCGCGCCCTCTGGCAATATTTTTTATTGTTTTTTATTATGATGATGCGTGTGCGAGCCCAGCATGCAGAAAAGTTCATTACGAGGGTTGAGGGTTAGGATTTTGGGTTGGGAAAAGGAGCCCAGAACTAAGGACGCCAGCTCGAGTCCTTGGCGCACGCGTGAATATTCCGCAATGAACTTGTAACTACGGCAACCGGCGACAAATCATAAAATTTATGAGTGGGGAAGCCCCCTTCTCTCCGCTCTTTTAAGCCGCCGCCTCTGGGCAATTTAATGGTTTTTCTCTTATTTTCCATTTTTGTGCAAGCGAATTTATTGTCGGCTGATTGGCCTCTTGGTTAGGCTCCTAGCATAATGCGGTCGGAATCCTCTCCGGATCCCCGCCCCTGCACATTCCCACTTGGACTCATCCCACTTATTTCCTAGCCTTTTATGGCTTTTTATTTTACCAGCTAGCGTTTTTATGCTTATTGAAATTGAAATGATTGTGGTAATTGAAATGTTTTTGCATGGTTGAAAGTTGGCCACTGGGAATGTCTAGAATATGTCTGCTGCTACAAAAATATGCTTCTTAATATGGAAGGGGACTGAATCGGGTAGAAGATTTTAGCTAGTGAGCTTCTAAAAGAGAGAGAAGAAAACCAGTTAGTATGGCCTTTTAGTGGCCGAGAATTCAGTTAAATTTATATGGGTTTTTAATTGAACCGGTTCAGCTTGGAATCTGTGCTTTAAAACTTGCTCATCAGAATTGATTAAAAAGAATTTGATAGTTTTTAAGGTTCTAAAATAAGGGTTATTTTAGGTTTTCCAATAGAAATTAAAGTCAAAGACCTGTTGGCAATTCGTCTGCTTAAAAATGATACTCAAACCGTTAAAGTTTAAAAGCCCTATTTTTATTATGATGTGTATCATAAAACTTCTTAATATATTCTTAAGGTTTGTTTTTACCATCTATCTACTTCTGTAGACTCATTGCCGGAATGCTAATTTACACATAATTTTTTAAGGTGTTCCCTTTTTTTGCCAAGCATCAGATTAATAGACTTAAACCTTTGAATGCTTTTAAGCCAACAAAAATAATACTTTAAGACCATTATTCTGACATTAGAATAACAGTGATTTTAAGATATGAATACTTTTAATTAAATTTGCAATCCCTTGGAGCAGCGACTCAGGTTGCGCCTCAGTAAGACTTCCCTGAAATTTCCATTAACGTAGTCCCGTTTCGCAAGGACAACGAACACGCACACGGAGACAGGACACAGACAGGCATTCGGGCGATGCCCAATAAGTGTCACTTGTGGCTGACAAATCGCATAAAAAGCAGCAGAAGGATCAGGAGCAGGGGATGTGGAAGTGGAGCAGTGTGTGGAGAAAAGCTGGAGTGGAGTGGCAGCAGCTGAGAACAGGGAATTCATATTTCCATGCAAATGCAAATAACAAAATAATAAAATGCACAGCAAGGGGAAAAACACTGATAGCAAGGGACACGATTGAGGAGGTGGAAAATGGGCTGGGGAAAATAGGAGCAGGGTGCTGCCACACTAGCACATGTGAGGAAATTTGCAAGGCAAACGATTTTTCATGACCCTGTGAAGCAGCATCCTCTGATGATGGCAACTTTTCTTGTGCAATGCACCAGGAACTGAGTGTTTGTCCTTGTATTTTGTCGTAAATTTCACGCATAACAAAGCTTTATCTTCATCCAGCTAGGTGTTCAGCTTACCTTTGACTCACAATTTGGGTGAAAATATAAAGTAATGTCGACATTTACTTACCATTTTTCTTCTCTTATTTTTTTCAGATGCAAAAAAAGTGATTGACCCTCCCAGCAACTTCGAGGAGAATCCTGGCGAACTGGGAAAACCCGTTCGTCTACCCAAGGAAATGTCCGAGGATATGAAGAAGGCCGTTGATGATGGCTGGACCAAGAACGCCTTCAACCAATACGTATCCGACCTGATATCCGTGCATCGAACGCTGCCCGATCCTCGGGATGCCTGGTGCAAGGATGAGGCTCACTACCTGACCAATCTGCCCAAGACCGATGTCATCATCTGCTTCCACAACGAGGCTTGGACTGTGCTGCTGAGAACAGTGCACTCGGTTTTGGATAGGTCGCCAGAGCATCTTCTTGGAAAGATTATCCTGGTAGATGACTACAGCGACATGCGTGAGTTTGACTGATTTTGTTTTGTTCTTAATCACTCTAATTCCCACATAATCCCATAGCTCACTTGAAGCGGCAGCTAGAGGATTATTTTGCTGCTTACCCCAAAGTTCAGATTATCAGAGGCCAAAAGCGAGAGGGTCTGATTCGAGCCCGAATTTTGGGAGCCAACCATGCCAAGTCCGCCGTTCTCACCTATTTGGATTCCCATTGCGAGTGCACAGAAGGTGAGTTGGCAGACACTTTTATTGAATATTCGGACTGCCTAAAAGTATACAGCCAATTTTTCTATCTCTCCTTTGGCATTTCCATTTCAATTTGCAATATTGTCAATATGCAAATTGCCCAAATTAAGCTTTTAATTGACTAACCAACTTGCGTTAGTCAGTTCTGGGTCATAAAAAATGCAGTCTAAATAAATATTTGAAATATATACGCCAGCGACAAGCCAACATCGAGCTTAAACATTTAAACGTCAAATTTTAATGCATCAATTTTTTGTTTAGCTGAGATTTAATTATTTTCCAATGGACTTCCGTGGTGTCTGGTTTATTGTCGAGTGTAATGTTCTTTGTGATACTCAATTTTGATGGCCATCAAACAAAATCCGACGAAAACGATGCCAATAAAACAGGAGCCCAGCTCTAGAAAAATCGCTTAATCTTTCTGTTTCCATTTCTCCTTCTTAGTGTTTGCTTTTATTAGGCTGGTGAAGAGAAATTAGATATCTGTCGTTGAGGGATATCAGAAAACGTAATTAAAACTGACTGTAAATTAATATTTGTGGCATATTAGTTTGAGCCTTCTGAGGGCTGACTAAATGAATATTCGGAATATTTATCCGGTTCTAACTTGTACCCTTTTGCAGGATGGCTGGAACCGCTTCTGGACCGCATTGCCCGTAATTCTACCACTGTTGTGTGTCCGGTTATTGATGTCATTAGTGACGAGACTCTGGAGTATCACTATCGCGACTCTACGGGAGTCAATGTCGGAGGATTCGATTGGAATCTGCAGTTCAGCTGGCACCCAGTTCCTGAACGAGAAAAGAAGCGCCATAATGTAAGTCAACTGAAAGCTTTTTTCTTGTATTGCAAACTCTTTTTACAGACAAACGAAATTTGCATTTGTTTCATATCAAATTCGATGTATGTTTACCATTAGATAACTTATATTCCTGAGTGTTAAATAGGGTATTTGGCCCGCAGGAAAAATGTGGATTTTGTGGTATTGACTTACACATACAGGGCTATTTATACCATTCTGTGTTTAATTTTAGTTATGTTTGTTTTACGCGATGGTTACCAGGGTTACCTTCCCATCCTCCAACTTTGGTTTCTAACCCCATTTGGGGAGTTTTCCCCGTTCGAATGCCAAAAACATGAAGCCGCTTAAGCGCTCGAACGTGACTACAAAAACTGAATGTTTGCCGTGAAAAGGGAATGCGGCTGTCAATACAAACACACATTCACGTGCCAAGGGAAAAAAGGGAAACGGACACAAACAGTCATCCTCACGTACAGGCCACAAAAGTGTCGTTTGCAATATGAGCTATTAGAACTAAGAGTCGTTCTCCTCGCACAGATGAGTTTGCAAATTTATGCTCGAGTTGGGCCGACGTTACAGCCAGAGTTATAGCCTCGGTTAGTTATATGGGGGGATAGTGGCGAATAGCCGTAAAGAATCCCAGAATTTTTAAAGAGCTATTAAAGTTATAGCCATAAAAAAAGATTCTTAAGGTTTGCATTAAGGAAAACCGTAATTTGCCTTTTACTGTGTTAAATGAGGATTATGGGACGTATAGAGTTTATATAGAAGTTTAGATACACTAAAATAAACAATTACATTTCAATAGAGAATGAAATTATTAATTCATAAGCTAAAGGGTCTACAGCTTTTTAGTAATAGCATATAATATTCAACACACAATTCTTTTTCTTATTTATTACTTGTGTCTCCGCACATTAATAATATATATCTAAATTTGATATCTGTTTGAAGATTTTTGATGTTTTGGAAACGGAGAAACTTAGGCAATTTCCATAAAAGTTTGAATTATTTCCCCACCCTTCTATTGTAAAATTCCTTTTGCCTTTTGGAAGCACAGAAAACGTTTTGTTATTTTACGACCGCCTGCGCTGAGCACGTACAAACTTTTCCCATACACTGACAAGCAATTAGATACTCCCGCGCACACACACACATTTGCAGAGGGGCAAAAAAAGAGCTCCACAAATGGACATTCGAAGCTGTCGATGGGTTTTCAGATCCGAGGACAGCTGCTGCCGCCTGTGTAAATGGGGAAAATTCCTCCTTAGCTGAGCCATTTTCCACTTTTCACCTGGCCATCCAGCCGGCGGAAATGCTTCCGAGGATTCCTGGCGGCTATCCATTCCATTTTTATTATTTGTTTAACGTTTTAATTAAAAGTTCATAATTACACTGTTCGCCCTTTGAATCGTGTGTAAATTGCCTTAATGCCTGCACATGTAGGCGATATATTACGCATACGCCGCCTGCGGCAAGGCCACAAATTGAAAATGGCTGGAGAAACGGAGAAGGAGAAGAAAAGCGGGCCATGACACTGCAATTAAAAGCCAAAAACGTTAACAGCAAATTTTCGTAGTCGGTTTCGGATGCTGCTTCTGTTGCTGGTGCATCGCTCTTTTGCGGCGTAAATATCTGGCATAATTGTTTTTACAAGCGCCGCGGGGATTTATGGCAGGATTGTTGCCGAAAAATCCTTGCGCAGGCCGGAATTGTTGCTGCTTCCTGGCAACATGCGGCGTGGAAATTTCTGTCTCCGTCCTCGCCCCAAGTTGCACTTAGCAGCTAAATCAAGTAAAGCATTTCCCGTCTGCAACAACATTGGCAATTTGCCGAGCGACTTGCGGAAGGCAACTGCTGCTGGAACCCATAAATGTTGCTGCCATGTGTGCGTTTTGGGATGTTGTGGAGGGGAGGAGATAATGGCCGATGCTGAGAATTCTTCGCCTTGCCCTGCAAATGACAGTGAAAAGTTCTGCTGGAGAATTGAAGGGGCTGCGCCAAGTAAATGTTTAAGCTGTAGTCTCTCAACCGATTGCTAATTTCGAATATCTGTTTGAGTTATGCCATGCCAGGTGGCTCAAACAAAGCTCTACGGTTCGGGATGTAAACTCATCTCCTCCCAGGGATTTTCAGCTGCCGGGCACAGCTGTTGACAGTCCCAAAGCTGCCTGAACGAAATCCTCCCAACAACTTCTGATGTCTGTCCAAAGTTGCTTAACTTGTTACGAGTTGGCAGCAGAGGCAAAAGCAAAAACAACAGCAACAGCAACAATAATAACACTAGCATGGGGAATCAAAAATACATATTCGTTATGGGCAATGCCATTTCCCCTGCACTCAAAGTTGCTACTTCAGCTTTTGTTTGTATTTCCTTGGCGGGTCCTGCTGCTGCTCCAAGGTAAAAGTTGTGCTGCTTTTCAGCTGCCGGTACATATATTTTATTTTCCAGAGCGAAATCCCCAAATTGAAACTGTAGAAGAGCTGGAGACTTGGCTAATGGCTTTACTCCCCTTCAGCGAATCAATCAAATCCAATTTTGAAAAGAAAAATCCGCCAAATCTCAGGCTGTTAATCATTTCCAACAACTTATTTCAGGCTGTGAGCTTTTTTGGTAAAGGGACTTATTTTCCTTTCTCCGAGATTATGTTCCTATCACACAGTTTTCCTTCAGAAACTTCTCTTTTGATTACCTAGCAACATCAGGAATAGGAATACGCCATCCTAATTCCCCCACAAAATGTTTCTGGGTATCTCATGTTCGCCTGGGCAAAGCAATAAGAGAATTTAAATATTTAGGAAACCACAGCAAATAACATGAAAACTAATTCCCTTCGTTGGTAAAATACCGCAGGCCGTTAAATATATATGTGTATGTACGTATAAAAAATCGTATGCGGCAAGGCAGTGAAAACTAATCCCCACAACGAGGAAAAAATCTGGAATAAAACTACGGGTGCAAACAATTTCACATGGAGCAGATCCCAGTAACCATTTGGCGGCTGTGTGGAGGGCGTTGAAACACTAATCCAATTATTTGAGTATAAAGAGTAGCAGCAGTAGCAGCAGCTAAGGCAGAACTTTTTTGATAGCGTGGCCAGGGCGTATGCGCAATATGCGTGCTTCAGCAGCCAAAGGCAAACGCACACGGAGCACTCATACGCAATGTTGGCCAAAGCGTTTAACTATACATAGGGAGGCCAAATATACATAAAGAAGAGTGCGCCTGAAGTGCCGAATCCTCGCAGCACGCTCTCTCCACGCCTCCCTTGTATCCTTATAAAAGGAATACCCTTGTCTCTTTGGCTGAGATACAGGAGAACTTCTGTAATACGAACGTGAGTCAAATTATCTCTAACTAGAAATTTATTAAAGTTAAATTGTTTGGCCGCACACCATTTTGTCCCCAAGACTACACCTTAAGGCTTTTAGTTAATCTAGAATTTAATTAAACAGTGTGGGTTGTTAGGTTTTATGGCTCGAAAACTATCGCTAAAGCGTCGCGAACTTAGCTTAAAGGATTTTATGCGGCAGTCTGAAGTCCGCGTTACATGAGCTCTTCTGTAAACAGAAAATTGTGGGCAAAGTTTACCTTTAAAAATTGTTTAGGCTGTCGTCGTGGCTCGTCGGTTCCCATTCCCAGCCAGCCACATATATATGCAAGTGTAATGGGGCCTGTGCGGAAAGGTAAATGCTTTCTAATACCCCAGGAGATGGCAAAGTGGATGGGGATGGAGGACTACAGATAGAGATAGAGCTGCTCTCATCTCGCCCATTGCACGTTTCATTTCATTTCTTTCGTTCGGATTGTTGTTCCCGTTCGAGAGCCTTTTTATGCCTTTGTCTAGCTCCTGTTGTGGATGTGAAATCGTGCATAACACAGGGCTACAGCCATCGGGTTTGGGTGTGTAACGCGCTGCGTATGCGAAATTTTCGACGTTTTCGCTCCAATGACAAATGTTGAGCAGTCAATTCAGAGCTTTCGTTGCCAGCTTTTCGGGTACTCGATGGTTGGGGTGCCAGCCACTCTGGTTGCTTTAATGATGAAGCCGATTACGTATTTCTGTCAAAGTCAATTGGATTTCGGCTATTCATCAGAGCATAAAGAGTGTGGGGCGCATAAAGAGTCACAGCTAATGGCTAAATATTCCCCTGGGCCTTGCGATTGTGTTATTTATGAACAGCGTGTCGGGAAAGTTATGTCGAGCATATATAAATAAATCGATATATATAGGAGCAACAATAAAAAGTACAAAAGCGAATTAAGTGCACACAAATTTATGACGGATGAAATGAGCCTGTGTCGAAAACCGAGGTTTGGGAAGGTACAAAGGTTTTTTATTCGTCAATGTCAATATATATCTTGTGAAATTCGTTTTATGATTTTTGTGCTGAAACATTTAATCAACACCAATTACCCCAAATACATATATTCTTGGAAACCTAGCTTTTTACCACCACAAACAAACATGAACTTAAGCCACTTTTTGATACATGTTCTATCGTTCTTTATGACATTACAAATGTTAATGGGACAAATATATCTTCATTCACATGGTCAATTATACATTAATCAAAAGGGTCCCTTTTAGTTAGTCAGGCGATACTTGACCGCCCTGAGGATGGGGTACTTCTCGTTGGTGCAGAGTCCTCGGAAGTCGTCGAAGGACAAGTCGAAGAGGGCCACTCCGCCGAGGTTCTCGGTGCGCACATAGCCAGCCTTTTCGGCGGCGGTGTCGGGGTCCTCGAAGCTCACCCAGATCCCATTGTCCCCCTTCTTGTCGGCCGCCCTGTAGGCATAGGATCCGAAGCGCTTGGCGGGATCCTGGACCTTGGTCAGCGGAGCACTGGCGCCCTTCGCGTAGGCGTTGTTCTGGTTCGGCAGCAGGGCACACACCTCCGGCCAGCTGTAGATGCCCGCCAACTGGGTGTTGCCGCCCACCGGAGCCTCGTCCTTGACGTCCTTCACGGGGGGAACACCAGTGTCGCCGGAGTCATCCGTCAGCTTCCAGGGACGACCGTAGGTGGCCACTCCCACGTTGATCTTGCTGCCGGGGCAGCTGTTTCGCAGCCAGTACTTCACCTGGGCGGCCACATTGAACTCGGGATTGCGATCGCTCAGCTCGTAAATGGGGGCGATGTAGTCGGCCACCTCGGGGTTTCGCTGGGGAGTGAAGAAATCGAATGCTCCCAGGTTCACAAAGTCCAGGTAGTTGACCACGGCGGGAATGTCGTAGAACACTGGGGGAGATGGGTTGGATTGAAGATCGAAACCGTAGACTTTTCTGTATTTTCCAAGTGGATACACTTACGCGACGAGTTCACGTTGGGCAGAACGGTGGTGGAGAGCAGCAGGTTGTCCGGGCGGAAGGCGTTCTTAACATCGCGCAGCAGGGCGGTGAACTGCTCCTTGTGCTCTTCGGACTTCTCGTCCACGATCGAGTCGCCGGAGAAGACCTTCTTGAAGCCCTTCCAGATGCTGCCAATGCCGCTGTGCACCTTCTTGGGCTTGTTCTTGGGGAACTGCCAGGCCACATCCAGGCCATCGAAGCCGTAGGTCTTCACCAGCGAGTATACGGTGTTCACGAAGCGAGTGCGACCTGTGGGGCTCTCCAGCAGCTCCAAGTACTTGTTGGGCAGCTCCTTGGCATCCTTGTCGAGCTCGATGTCCTTGTCCCCGCCCACGCTGAGCAGGATCTTAACGTTGGGGTACTTGCGCTTCAAGCGGGTCACCGTGCGGTACAGACCCTTGCCCAAGTCCAGATCCAACTGCTGGTTCAGACTCACCGCCTTGTGGGAGTCGCGCTCGATCCCGGCATAGCCGTAGATCAGATAGTCGCAGAACTGCAGAGCCGGCTCCAGTTCATCGATCACCAGTTTGCCCAGACCTAGATTAACGAGGGGATTGTGAGATTGTTTCATGTACGGGGAAAAACACAGACTTGGTCTGGTAGTCTTGTTTTTCAAGATTAGTTGTCATATATTTCACAGTTTTCGTAATTCATTAATTAAAGCTTAATACTTGCCCATTTTTAAGGGCTACCTCAATACAATTAAATTAACTTATCGATGTTTAAAAATAATACTCTTTGTTAATATATTACAACATGATCATACATTACAGTTTGAGAAAGTGAGTTTAAAATGTAATGCGAAGATATACATATAATAAGTATGGGCTTTTGGGGGTATAAAAATCATTGAATTTCATTTACTTTTTCGCTGTGCCCTAAGTTATCGCACTCACAATGTACTTGAATAGCAAATAAATCACCCAAGCTAGGTTTCAAATATTTGTTGATAAGCTCTGTCGCTTGTTTTCGATTTCGTTTTCATCTTTTCTAATTAGCAGCTTCCAGCGGATGTTACATAACATCGAAAAGTGCAAAAACCACTTTATAATAAATACTGTAAGATACCAACCTTCCTTGACGAAACTGGCGGAATCGTAGTAGCAGACCAGGTGCTTCTTGGGCACCTGGGACTGAGGGGGTCCCACCTTGGAGGCCTGGATGCTGGCCAGGCACAGCGATACGATCGCTAGGGTTTTAATGATCATCTTCGAGTCGCGGATTTCACTTGATTCCGTTGAGTTGTGCGCCGCTCGTCTGTCGACTTGGAACTGAAACTTGGGCTCTGCTTGGCATCCCAGCTTGTCGAAGGTTGAGACGTGGTCGTCATTGTTGTTCTTATTTTTGCTGTTGTGGGTTGAGAGCAAAGTGTGAGCTGATAAACAAAGCTAAGCTCGGAGGCGATCATTAGAAATATATACAGTGGAGCTTTGAGTTGGTGGATGGAGGTTGAAAACTTAAGTTACACGCCGTTTTAATCTTCATTCTTCGTCGCTATCGACTGCCCTTATATTATTTCCCATAAAATAAATATCAGTCATGTCATTGAGTTATTTATAAACAGTGCATGAATTTCAACTATATAAACAAAGCATTACTTGGAAGACCTTTTTAATAAAAATATCATTAACTGCATTTCCATTAACCTAAACTGGTTTCAACTACTTAATAAATCATTAGTAATCTGGTTCACGTGAACAAACTTTCAAAGCTTGTTCCTACTGTATTAATTCCAGTACATTTGTGTGGGCCGCACACAAATATATTTAAATTTTTACGACCTGGATGTCGACAAATTTTATTTTTGCTGTTACTTCCATTGCTGTTATGTCTTTCGTTTATTTTCTTTTCTTGTTTGCTGCTGTTCATGATTTTTTTCGGTTTTCGGCATCACCATGTTTGAGCTTTTTGGTTGCTGCTGATGCGCTGTTATCAATTCCCGACCCCGATTTACGGATTTTTTCTGAACCCTAAGCCCGAGTTTCTTGTTTCCATTCTTTCCTTTGTTCCGTTGTCTTCCTTTCTTGTTGATTTTGGCATAATTCTTGTGTTTGTTTTCCCTAATCGCTGTTCAATCCACTTGCTTCCTTTTGTTCTCAGTCTCTTTCGGTCACACATGCTGATTTTTTTAGCCTACAGACAGAAAAAATAGTTATCGATTTAAAAGTAGGAAATTTGTTCCCTTTAAATTCATTAAAAATATTCTCAAGACATAAAATTATGGTTTTTAAAGAGATATAATATAAAATTTCTTAGTATTTTGCTTTTGAAAAATTAAACAATGTTTTTCCCAAATTTTTTTTGCGTTTGAGCTGCTCCTTCATGCTTTATAATTCATGTGTTTGGGGTGGTGTGTGCTGGTAAAAGTATGCTCCATCAATTCCATTTGTTTAGCCTGAGTTTTCTTTCTAGCCTTTTTCTTGCGTTTTCACCCCAGCCTTTTTATCTATCTATACCAAAGTTGAGGAATTGTTTTTGGCAATTCAAGGGCATATCGAATGTGGGACGGAAGACAAATGGAATTGGCTTGCTCTTGTTCCCTCTGCGAATTACATGACCCCACTCCAGGTGATTTGAAAATGAAGAGATGTCTGTTTGCCCGTCGTCGCCTGGCACTCAATTATTTCCTGTGCCATTTAAATTTTTTTACTTTATCAATTAACAGATTTGCTTTCATCTTTTTTCGGGCCGATGTGGGTGATAATTCACTGAAAGTGAGAGAAAAAATCGGGGTTAAGCTTTGGCTTCGAAAAACCAATCACATGCACGAGCGGTTTCGACCGAATGAAGTAACTAAAAACCCGGGGCCAGAGAAAAAGGTTTCTTTTTAGGTCGCAGGGATTTTGGGATTTTTTTTCCTAATTTTTAGCAAAGCTTTTCCCTTTTCGCTCTTAGCATTTTGGTTAATTAATTTTCGCCATGCTCTTTTCGCTCAGTCAGCACCAGCGGAATATTACTTACACATTTTCCTTGTAGTCCGCATAATTACGTGCACGTTTAACTTTTAATTGAAATGTTGTAACAAGAGTTGATGGTTGGAATAGGAGGTGGGAAAAGGGGCAAATATTGGAAAATAGGGCCAAGCGGGGGTTACCAAGGGAGGGGATGGGGGAGGAGGACCGGGGCCTGCGGGCTTGTCATGGCAATTCATAAAACTCCTTCTTCGTTGCTCTTGTCTGCCCTTCCCCTCTGTCTATATTTCAGTTTATTATATCGAGCTAAAAGCTGGCGCTCTTTAATTAAAAGCGTAGCCAGCAGACACACTCACACTCGCACGTTCACGTTTATATCAGATATTTATGAGCGACCCCGAAGTATGCTACACTTTAGTGGTTTGGAGCGAAAACATTTGGGAGAGGGCCGGCAAAATGTTGCCAGCTTTTCGGCTGGCATCAATATTATTCCAAAATTATGATGAAAATAGTCAGCAATTGAAGCCAGCTTTCACGAGACTTCATTTACGGGAGAACTTCCGTTTTCAGACAGAAAAATCTTATAAAATAGCCAAAAGTCTTTAAGATACACTTATGGGATTTGCCATAATTTTTCTTTAAAAACTCAATATAGAATTTAGAAAATAGAAGTAAATTACGCTTTTTTGAAGTATATGATACTTGGAAATAATAGCAAATACAATGGTTGCTCTAAGAAAATTTGAGTTATAGAGTCCCGACTGTATCGCCTTTTGCCTCCATCACTGCGCTTTCCCCTTTAACTTTGCATATTAAGCCATGTGCAGAGGGCAAAAACCAGCACACACCAGTAAACAGAGAAAACTTTGTTGGCTGCTCGTTTGTTTGTGTTCGCCAGCACTCCCCCTTAACCCATGATAGCCGGAAAACCGCAGCAACTGTAACACCAGACACAGCAACAAGATCGCCCTGCAATTTTCCCTCGTGGCTCGCAAGTGTATTAATTTGCACCCAATGGCGGGGTACAACAGCATTTTTTGGATGGGGGTGAAAACGCCGAAAACCCGGAACTAACGACCCTTTCGATGGGCGGTGGGGGCGGTGGGGGCGTGGCCGAAGTGATTTGTGGCCATACAAGACAGATGGCGACCAGGGCTGGCAGAGCGATGAGATGCAGATTGAAGTTCTTACAGGCGAAGCAATTTACGCCTCAGTTCATTTGTGGAAACTAATTGGGCCAAAGTGCATTTGTGGCCTGCAATTTTCCAGCCCTGGCACTTACGGCATATGCAAATCACTCACTCAGCCGCACACGAAATACACACTTGCATATACGTACATAAACGCAAGGGAGGAGGGAAATATAGCCTGTGCATGAAAGTCAGCTTACGTGGCGCATGATTTATTAAAAAACGCTCGTAAAAATGCACAGCACACTCAACGAGCACAAAAAAAAAAGAGTAGAAAAAAGAAAACAACACATCAAAGGCACTGCAGCAACAGTATGATAGCACCCTCTATGCTGCAGCTGCAAAAATGCATGAAAAATAACTATGGAAATAAGCTGAGGCAACGGCAGAAGCAGTGGCACTACAAATAGATATGAAATTTTTAAAGCTTTCCCAGCAACTCTTAACCCATGGCAGGCGCAGCCTTTCCCCCTCCTCCTCCCTCCGGCACTGGCCACGCCCCCTCCTAAGGCAAACACTTAGTCGCGCATGATGAGAGTTGTGGGCGGGCGGAATATGTAGGGGGTTCTATATGGAGGGACGATCGGCTGGGAGCCAAATTTTCCAGACCATCCATCAACTGTCAGAGTCGGGTTCATTTTTAAGCAATTTTCGCAAGCGATGCGAGGGGCGAATTTATGCCCCTCAGATAGCTGCATGCAATAAAATGAAGAGAAGAAAAACATTTCCCTCTAAACTTGTAAAAACAATTTCATAAATAGGAAAGTATCAAAAAAACGCCGTGATAATGTTAGTTTTAAATCGCATTAAAAGGAGCTTGTTCCTGAAGTGTGTATTTATGGACAAAAATATATGTCCATGTCTGAAAGTTGTTTAAATAACCTATGTATCTAACCTATCCTTTTTTCATCACTAGAATTCATAACTACCTTGAAAAGATATTCAAAGTCGTTGTAGCTATGAAGGTTTGGCGTTGTAGGTTTGACATAATATTCGACGTTGGAGTTTCTAACTCTTTTTAAATGTTTTAGTTGAAACCCAACCCATATTTCAACTCAAAAACTTAAATCGTAGGTTTTTCTAAGCTTTTGTTAATGATAATAACTATTTTTCCTTGTGCATTCGCTTGCAATTTAGAGGAAGTTTTCCGCAGCTTTTCTAAGCCACAGCCTTTCGTCATTATCATGGGTGCCGTGCTGCATCCTCTTCATGGCGGTCGGGCAATCGGAAAATGGTGAAACGACGGGCATGTTTGGTTTTCATCGCCAGTTCCTGGCAGCGCAATTTCGTATTATTAATTAGCTGCCATTCCGGCGGGAGGAGCGGATCCACTGTGTCGTCATGTCCGTGGCACATTTGTTCTGGTTAGCGGCGGTGGACAATGGCTGTTTCTGTGGACTCTGGTCCTGGGAACCTGGGCTGTGCTACCAGCAAACTGCCAGTTAACCCAATCCAAACCAGCCCAAACGGAGCGGGCCAAAGCGAACAAACTGGGCTTCATTTGCATAGCGTCATTTTGGGGAATATGTCTTGAGCCCCATTTACACCAACTAATGGATGTGGGCCATTTTAAATGACATCCCCGAAATGATAAATGTGTGAGAATTAGGGGCGAGGTTTTTGTTCTATTTTCGTAGTCTGATACCAGTGGTTTGATAGCCAGCATATCGATTTTGGGCTAGAGTGTCAAATTTGCACTTTGTAGTGCCAAAAATAGTTCACTAAAACTTTTTTTGTTAATACACTTTCCAACTTATTTAATTAAGGCTTCAAACTTCTATGGTTCCTTTAAGATTTCTAGGAACGTAGCTTTTGCTTCCCGAAATCCACTCTAAATCTGCATTTTCTAACTACTTCGGCAATGGATGTAAATGGGTCATAGTAAGCGAGCCATCTGCATTTTGTTAACTGCTAATAAGTGCATATTTTCCGGCAACTCGCCGTACCGTCAAATTGCATGCATAATTTATGCAGGACTTAAGGCCAGCGTCCATATTCGCTCATCAACTGGATGTAAGCACGTACTTAGAAGGCAGTTACCGGCCCTCCGTTCCCCCACTAAGTTTCCCATCCATCAAGCATCCATCTGCCCGACAGCCATGCAAATTGAGCACGCGTTTCGCATAACCAAAAATTACACTTTCATCATGTTTCGGGGGCGAGTCCTTGGAAGTGAGAG